TCTTGCACATAAGCTCATCGTTGTTTCGATAAAGGATCATTGCGCTTCGGTAGCGCTTTAAGTGTCTCTCTGGGTCTTCATCCCCTTTGAAAGATGTGAAATGTGGCATGCTGAACTCTCGTGGAGGCTCTGCCTGCTCGATCTCGTCCGTGAAGGGTGACCTGCTTATGTTGGTCATGTTCCGTCGTAGTGCCTCGTCGGTGACCTCGTTGCGTTGGAAATCAAGCAATCGCTTGGTCAATAGTCTCTCTACTTCTTCCTGAATTTGCCTTTGTTGGGGTAGCGGAGCTCTCGGCTGCCCCCAGCCATGACTTTCTGGTCTAGGCTGCTCTTCCATGTGTTTGGCTCGTCTACGCCGCAGATGCAGTGCATGTGGTGCGTTCCTAGCAGGCGAGCGAGTTCTTCGCAGGCTGCTGGTTAAACTTGAGCTAGATTGAGTGACTGCTTCTCTCCGTCCGTCGTGCTGCCTACTCTGATGTGAGGTGGATGATGCTTCTTGTGGGCTTAGCCGCGAATGAACACTTTGTCCGGAAGTTTGCTCATGTTGACTATCGGAGTGTGACCCCAACCGTGAATGTATGCTCATCCGTGGGCCTAGTCGAGAGTACACGCTCCTCCGCGCGCTAAGACGGGAGTATACGCTATCTCGGGGGCCCAATCGAGAATGTACACTGCCTGAACGTTCGGCTCGTGGCTGGTCGAATGGCTGATTGCCGGGACGCTGCTGGAAAGGTTCGTCTGCCCTTGTCCTACTTCGGGATACCTCGTCCGGGGCACGTTGGATCCCGATGCGTTGCAAAAGTTGATTCACCAAAGTTGTCTGTTGTGCAAGGGCGCTCGTCAACTCTATGACTTGTCGAGACAAGTGTTGTTCGCCATTTGGATTAGAAGAGCTTGGAAGGAATGCGCCTCCTTGGGCAGTGGAAATGTGGTAGACTCCGAGCGCGAGATTTGAATTGGGAAATGTCAAATCCGCGAAAAAATATGGTGAGAATGCCCCCGGCTCGATGGTAGGTCCGGATGGTTGAGATAGTATTGGGCCGACTTGGGCTACTTGGAAAGCCACGGGAGCAGGCTGGGCCGTGAGAGTGGGCTGCTCGAAAGAAGCAGGCTGGACCACGGGAGTGGGTTGCTCGTCGGGAGCAGGCTGGGTCACGAGAGCAGGCTGCTTGGCAGGAGCAGGCTGGGCTACGGGAGTGGGCTGCTTGGCAGGAGCAGGCTGGGCCACCGGAGTGGGCTGCTCGACGAAAGCAGGCTGGGCCACGGGAGTGGGTTGCTCGTCGGGAGCAGGCTGGGTCACGAGAGCAGGCTGCTTGGCAGGAGCAGGTTGGGCCGTGAGAGTGGGTTGCTCGTCGGGAGCAGGCTGGGTCACGAGAGTAGGCTGCTTGGCAGGAGCAGGCTGGGCCACGGGAGTGGGCTGCTTGGCAAGAACCGGCTGGGCCACCGGAGTGGGCTGCTCGACGAAAGCAGGCTGGGCCACGGGAGTGGGCTGCTCGTCGGGAGCAGGCTGGGTCACGAGAGCAAGTTGGGCCGTGAGAGTGGGTTGCTTGACGGGAGCAGGCTGGATCACGGAAGCAGGCTGCTCAATGCGCGGTGCATGTGAATGCGAGGCTTGGGCTTGGGTCCACGTAAACTTGGATGGCACGGCTTGGATTGTGGTCTTGGTACCGTGAGCCTTGGATGGCACGGCTCGGGCCGTGGTGAAGGCTCCATGGACCTCGCCACGAGTGGCTACCGAAGTAGCCACCGCGGTGGTTCCCATGGTGGCCGTGGTGAAGGTACCATGGACCTCGCCGTGGGTGGCTACCGAGGTAGCCACCGCGGTGGTTCCCATGGTGGAAACTCGTGGTGGTGATGCCGCTCCCCTTATTGTTGCATTTTGCCTCACGGATCTCCGGGCCGTGGTGAAGACTCCATGGACCTCGCCACGAGTGGCTACCGAAATAGCCACCGCGGTGGTTCCCATGGTGGTCGTGGTGAAGGCACCATGGACCTCGCCGCGGGTGGCTACCGAGGTAGCCACCACGGTGGTTCCCATGGTGGAAGCTCGTGATGATGATGCCGCTCCCCTTATTGTCGCATTTAGCCTCACGGATCTCCGCAATCCCATTTCTTGAACATTAGAATTTTCACTTGTGGAATTTTCTAAATTTCTAGCCATTATATTTTGCTTATACGTTTTATCAAAGAACCTTTGCAAGTAAAAAATTCTAATAATAAGAACGTATGAAAAATATTCAAATGGACTAGAAAATAAAGAAAAAAAAAACCTTTTTGTGCGAGAGTCTTCTACGAGTATGGATTTCAACTCTCAATGAAAGCACCAATTTGTGGATGCAAATTTCTTCCTCCTCGATCTTGGACGATTTTGCACCTACAAAACAATTAACACCTTAGGTTAAGGCCAAGAGCCTCACGTGTCCATGATGAATGGGGGGGGCTTTGGCCGAAGAACCTCCGATGCCAAAGTTAGAATTTAGAGAGAAAGAGTGTTTAGAGAATTTTGGGATTTTTGCCAAAGTGTTGGAATTAGCTTTTTGGTGAGAATGGGAGTATATTTATAGGGATAGGAGGTGGCTAGGGTTTTTAGGTTTAATTTAGGTTTAATTAGCCAATTTATTATGATAAATTTGCTAATTAAACATAAAGGGAATAAATGGATGGTTATAGAATCAATTAGCTAGCTTAATTGGGGTAGTAAAGTGGGAAAAGATAGGGAAAGTAGAAAGATTAAGGGGATGGCCGGCCATGTGATGTTTTAGGGTTGAATTGGTTGTATTTTGTGGTTATTTGGATATAATGGATGGTTTAATTGAGAATTAATGGGTTAATTATGCAATAAACCCATTAATTAGCCAATTAACATAATTTAAAAGGAATGTGTTTGGGAATTACCTTGTAGAAAGGATTTGATGAGATGGACTTTGAATTGTTACCTATTTTGGGCACTTCTGTCTTGGTTGAAAGAGGGTTGCCCGCTGCTTGCGCGTAGGAACCTTGTTGTACTGCAAGGGTATTTTTGTCCTTTTTGTCCAAAAAACCCACATGTCGCCTTGTGAATATTTTTGGCTCCACAGACATTTTTGTCAAAGCATTTCTGTCAATTTCACAGTTACCTGCAAGGAATTTAAATTAATTTGGCCAATTCCTTGATGATGAGAATCATCACTTCTGTAGTAGTGTTATTGAGAGAATGATCGATGAATTCCTTGCTAATTTATTGGGTGCTAAGTATTATTGGATCGAGAACATGTTTTGTGTTAGTTTTACATATATAAAATAAATGGGTAAACGGTTACCCGTTTATAACCGTGGTTAATACCCATAACCGCTCATTTAAATTTCGTGGGTAAACGGTTATACCCATAACCGTTTATTTATCTAAATGGTTACCCATAACCGTAACCGTTTAATTTAAATGGACCGGTAACCGTGATTACCCATAACCAATGAGTATTTGCCCATCCCTAGTTCCGATTAACGACAAAGATGGCAGTACTAGCGCTCAAACATTTTAGAGCTCATTTGGAAGAGCTTTTAAAATGATTGAAAACGTTTTTTGTGAAATTAATTTTGGATTCCAAAAGCACTTTAGGTTTTTTTTTGGAAGAAGCATCAGATACATGCTTCTTGCAGGAAGCACTTAAACTGTTTTTCCAAGATTTACTTGGATTTTTTTTACTAAGGATTGGTTTCAAAAATATTTTCATCAAAAGCGCTTTCTTTAACTGCTTTTCCAGGATTTATTTGGATTTATACTAAAGATTGGTTTCAAAAATATTTTTATTAAAAACACTTTCAGTCATTTTAAAAGCACTTCTAAATGAGTCTTTATTGTGCTACAAGTTACAAAGACTTCTAAATGAGCCTTTATTGTGCTACAAGTTACAAATGAGCCTTTATTGTGCTACAAGTTACAAACGAGTCTTCTGAATGAGCCTTTATTGTGCTACAAGTTACAAATGAGTGTTGTTAATAGGAGAATTATAAAACTATTTAAATAAAAAATAAAAAACTTTTTCCGCTGCCGGGATTCGAACCCGGTTGTGATACAATGCTCAATCCAATTTATGTGCTACAGCGGAATATTTGTTGCTAGTAGAAGAATTAACATTTTATTGTGAAAGAACTTGATGCTATTTGTCATAGAGAATAAATATTAGCTTCCCAGGGGAATACTCTTTCCAGTTAAGGGATCATCTGAGGCTCATATTAGACCAACTATTATCCAACGATGTGTGATCATAATTTTCTTAGATATGAAATGGTCTGTGATCATAATTTTTTTAACATAAAATGATGTGTGATCATAATTTTCTTGGACATAGAATAGTCTATCTTATTATTGCAGATATAATCTCTTTTGTCTCAGTTCCTCTCAAGATTTTAGTTTTGGGGGCCTCACACATATTTCTTCAATTCCTAGGAAAGTTGATATCTTCTTTTCTTATTTCCCTTGTTGGTCCTTTTTGGTGACAAATGGCTTCACCTTGTATTTATGTACCAGGAAAGTTGATTTGAATGGCGATTCCACACTTGCATTCTTTGCAATCTGTGAGAGTTTCTTCCTCGTGCCGCATTTCCTGTCCTAACCAGTATCATTATGGTAGAAGCAATTTCAGCAGAAAGAGCAGTTCTCTTATTTATGCTTCCACCAGTATCATTTTGATAAACCCATCAGCATTTACAAAAATCAATACCAAGAAGAACTATAACGCCCTCAGCATCATTTGAAATTACAGAACGATTCTTCATTGTTTGAATTTAGTAGTTTGTGTATAAGTGCCAATGTATGATATATATGCATCTTCACTTAGTTTCGTAAATGTACAAAACTTGTTACAAATCACTCTCATATCATGACAGATACTGTAGTGCCAATAGATGTAATATATGCATCTTCACTTAGTTTGTTTTGGATGTCGTATTTTTCCTCTTCACATTTTCAGGATAGATTATGCAAATGGATGAGATCATAATATCTATTAATATTATTTCAGGTTGAAACAGTGTTAGATAGTGTAAAATGGGATGACAAAGGTTTAGCAGTGGCCATAGCTCAAAACGTTGACACAGAAGCCATCTTGATGCAAGGCTTTGCTAACAGGGAGGCAGTGGCCACGACAATTTCCTCACGGAAGGCTACATTCTACAGTCGGTCGCAATCAACCTTGTGGACAAAGGGAGAGACCTCCAATAATTTCATTAATGTCCAAGAAATCTTCCTTGATTGTGACCGAGACTCTGTATGTCAATGGCTAGTTTAGCTGGAACCTACTCACTAATATATTTTTTTTATACTTTAACTCAGACCTATTTCTCAGATAATATACCTTGGGAAGCCTGATGGACCTACCTGCCACACAGGGTCCGAGACGTGCTATTGCACCCCAGTGCTTGATTTGTTGGAATATCGACAGGTTTTCAACATTGAATCAGTTGAAAAAAAACTCATGCACCAAATTTACAGTATGTTTTGTAAGTGATTCAAATGAATTGTGACAGGATGAAGAACATAAATTAGCTTTGACCATTTGTACTCATTAGAGTCGACAATTGCCAGCGAAACGAAGAATTAGAAGTTTTAGAGAGTGGAAAGCCCTCGTGGACTCGCCGTCTACTATCTGATGAGAAGTTGTTGTGCTAAAAAATCAGGTAAGATGTTCAAAATGTCATATTGCTTGTCAGATATGATATAAATCTTTTTCACTTTGTTTCTTAACTTCTGAATAACTCGAAAAAAGGTAGTAAAAGAATTAGAATAGTGATATGCTTGTTATTATCGGATGCAGACTTTTAGGTGGTTCGAGTTATAGATGTTATCCTCATGGTCGAAAACTATATTAAGAAATAAGCTATCTTCTGTATTTTCACTTGTAAGCCATTGTTCATGGTTTTCTTTCTCATTACAGGAAAGAGGCGGACGAGCTACGCCAAACACTGGAGGAGAATGAAGATAGGTTGTGTGCTGCCTCGGAGATGGCATATGTGCTTTATCATGGCATGGCTCTGCTAGGCAGTAAAGGCGTGAAAATGGAAGAGGTTTTGGAAATTCTTCGACGTAGGTTTTCCCAATCGGGTATCGAGGAAAAGAGAAACCGCAAGTCACAAGCCTAGACACGGGCAGCTAAGTCTGTCAAGTTTAAATGATTTGCTTTGATCACCTCTTCTGTTTTATCGTTTTATTCACCATATATTGTGGTCTTAATTTGTACCAGGAGTATTTCTGAACCTAAATTTGCAGCTAATTTGGGTAGGGTGCGTGATTTTAAATCTCAATCATTTGGTTAACTAGTTCCGATCAACGACAAAGATGGTAGTACCGGTGTTCAAACCATTTTAGGGCTCATTTGGAAGTACTTTTAAAATAACTGAAAGCGCTTTTGGTGAAATTAATTTTGGATTCCAAAAACACTTTAGGTGCTTTTTGGAAGAAACACCAGATATATGTGTCTTGCAGGAAGTACTTAAACTGCTTTTCGAGAATTACTTAGATTTTTACCAAAGATTTGTTCCAAAAACACTTTAGGCGCTTTTGGTGAAATTAATTTTGAATTCCAAAAACAATTTAGGTGCTTTTTGGAAGAAACACCAGATATATGCTTCTTGCAGGAAGTACTTAAACTGCTTTTCGAGAATTACTTGGATTTTTACTAAAAATTGGTTTCAAAAACACTTTAGGCGCATTTGGTGAAATTAATTTTGGATTCCAAAAACACTTTAGGTGTTTTTTGAAAGAAACACCAGATATATGCTTCTTACAGGAAGTACTTAAACTGCTTTTCGAGAATTACTTGGATTTTTACTAAAGATTGGTTTCAAAAATATTATCATCAAAAGCACTTTCAGTCATTTTAAAAGTCCTTCTAAATGAGCTCTTATTTTACTACAAGTTACGAAAGAGTGGGTTGTTAATAGGAGAATTAAAAAACTATTTAAATAAAAAATGAAAAAACTTTTTCCGCTGCCGGGATTCGAACCCGGATGTGATACAAAGCTCAATCCAATTTATGTGCTACAGCGGATTATTGGTTGCTGGTAGAAGAATTAAAAGTTTATTTAAAGTGAGAGAACTCGATGCTATTTGTGATAAATAATAAATTTTACCTTCCCAGGGGAATACTCTTTCCAGTTAAGGGATCATTTGAGGCTCATATTAGACCAACTATGATCGAACTGATGTGTGATCATAATTTTCTTAGATATGAAACGGCATGTGATCATAATTTTTTGGACATAAAACGATGTGTGATCATAATTTTCTTGGATATAGAACGATATATGATCATAATTTTTTTGGACATGAAGTGAAGAAAACATGACTATATCTATACTATTTACTTACACTTTTTTATTGGAGTAAATTTTTGTAGTAATATTTTTTCAGTAAAGATCTATAGCATATGCTCAAATTATGAGAAATCAATATATCTGGGTGAATCCAAATAATTGATTAGTGTCACAAACTGATTAGTGCTTGGACGCATAATAGTAGTAGTAAAGACCATCAGAAGTAAAAAAAAAAATTTTTAAAAATTTAAAAAAAAAAAGAAGAAGGCGATTGAGTTGAAATGATCTTTTCATGCTTCAATCTTCAAATTACTTCTCTGATGTTGTTTAAGCGAAATAAGGCTCTCCAAGCACGTAAAAACACGACCAACTTTGCCGATTCCACGAATGTTGATCTTCCAATGGCTTTCGTCATTAAAATTGTACATGATTAACTGTTCTCCAAACACCATCAAATCATAGGACTTTGTCCAGAAACCGGAATGTTTTAACTTTGAATATGGGATGGAGACCCTCATTTTAGTCCAAGACTCCCTCACTCCATATTCCGTCATGACCCAAAACTCATTATATGTCCCACCACGAGGACAAGAATAATACGTTATGCATAACCATTGTCTAAAGACTCCCAGTTTCATCCTCCGATTAGTACTTCCGACATAACCACATTCAAGCGGGAGCGGAATTTCTCGAACCCTCTCCTCCCCCGTTAGAGCGACGGAAACAATCAACCGTGACTGGTCTTCGAGTCTTTCCCCGAACCAGTGGAGATCTCCATTCAGCATAATCCCTTGTTCACTTGCATAAAATCTGTAGGGAAATAATCCCTTGATCTTCCTCCAAGAATCGGTTTCCAGCATATAAACACTAAACACAACGTCTTCATCAAAATCATTGAGCAAGAGGTTGATTAAGCGATTGTGTTTCGCGTAGAGTCCTTTAACCACCTTGTGTTCATAAGTGGAGTGATCAAATCCAATCCCATATAGATTGATTGAACTACGATACTTCTCTTCTTTTGGTATTTTTGGCAGTTTCTTGGTTTCCTTGGTGGAGGGGTTAACCAAATATAACCTCGAGTCGCACAGCATGCATAACAACAGGTCGTTGCAGGAACACAACAGGGAAACCCAAACACCCGACAATTCGCTATAAACATACTCGTGCTCGATGGCTGCTACTACACTTTGATCACCGGTATCATCAGGATCATCGGTATAATCAGGATCATCGTGATACTTATGATCGAGAAACTTGTCGAGATGCATGGAGTAGAGGCCATTATGTGCCGCATCAGTAAACATGACACTTCGTGTTTGGCAGTGTAGACGGTCTTTGTCTTTGATCGCTTTGATGAAGTGCGTTGTGACGAATTTGGGGTCAGAGATCAGAGAACACCATGACTTTGAGACGCACTCAAAGCGGCGTAAGGACTTAACTGGCAACCATGAAAGAATCCCGTGTATGACCTCGGGCGGAAGGTTGTTAGGGTTTTCCCTCAGCTGGCTTTTCATTCTTTCGAAGACAAAGAGAGAGAACTAACTTATCAGCAACTTATATATTCGGGTAATTTGCTTGTTATTCTAGTCCTAGTCGAGTTTTAGGTCCTGCAATTTTGGTATTGAACAAGGAATCCGGCAGGGTTAAGGGTCCCTAATCCCCATCAAAAGCTAATTAAGGAGTCTGATTAAACAGTTCACCAGAAGGACTCTAAAACTAATTTCTGAAATAATACAGAGTAAATTTTCAATGAAATTAATTAAAACAATCCTTAAAGCATCATTTCCGCCCGTAGGCTCTTCAAACCCCTTTTCCTCTATAAATTTTCCCTCAATTCGAATACATCTAGTTCAGTGTACAATTTTTCCGGTATGCTAATCCAGTAGCTTCGTAATTAGATAAACAAGTAAAATCACATGACAAAAGGTTCACATACATGTATTTACCGTGCCTGGAATCACGAACATGTGAGATTCATCAAGACAACAGCCGAAAAAATAGTCCACCAAAAGTGCAGTGTTCATCCACAATGTCGGTAAAGCAAACCTGGACAACTTTCTGTGACCTGTGAGATCATGCTTGGTGAATGTTGTGGATGGCTGCGGTGATACTTTGTGAATCAAATTCCATGATCTTCGTCCAGTTCTCACAGTCTCTGATTTCCTGCGACACAAACCCAGCCACAAAAGAGTCAAACTGTTAGCACACTCCACTCTCGAAAACTTCAGAAATTTTGGCACAGCTATTGGCCAAAAAGAAAGAAAAGGTTAAGGAGCTATGTCATGGGCAGGAGCATGATGCATGCCCTTGTGGATTTGGTTGCGACTATAGCTCACATTTCTCAAAAGATAATTATTATTTTGTTCCTTAGAAGTTAAATGAAGTAATGAACCTTTATGGCACTGTTGATAGAGCGAGCGACCGAGAGCCATTGATCAGTACGTTTGACAAATTGGGAAATGGTGGCATTCAGTAGTTCGCCTTCTCTGCCACAATCATTCAAACAGTTGAGAATCCTGGCAACAAAAAGAAACAAACCATATATCTAATGTTGGCGGTACTGACCAGTGAGTTTGTGGATTCTGAGGGAGGCATGGTGGTGCTCTTGTACCAATTGGAGCACAGAATCTTCTCGTTCCCCTGGCTTTGTTTTGGACGAGCAGGATGCCACTGGAGCATGTTCTAGGTGAAGAGATGCTGGTGAATACATGCTTGGCAGAAAGTTCTTGGAGAGTGAGCTGTGCTGACTTCTTAACAGGCCTGTTTAAGGTGGGTTAAGAGGGGTAACTTTTAAAGCCTGTTTATCTGCAACAATAAAGTAAACACTGGATCAGATTTTTTATTTTTTTTATTTTTTTTTCACATCGTAATCTGATAACTAAAAACTTTACTCAAAGATAACAATACTTCTCAGTTAAAGGTAGAGATTCAATGAGTTCCAGCAGACACACTTTTATTTGATATTGAAAAGCTTCATCCAAAAACTCGTAAAAAGATTGTTATCATATAGTCAACTAGGCTATGACTGATATAACAGTTATAACTTTTAATCCGCAATGAAATGAACATAGGGGAAACAGATATATACAAAAGATTCAAATTTATACTATTCCGCTTCAAATCCAATTTGGCAGATGCACTTATCAAAATCCAACGCAGAAAAGTATAACCACACCAGATGCCAACCGCATATAGGCTGGCTCTAATTTAGGCAGCAGCCCACATTAGAAATACTGGCAGTCGGTAGATTTGCGTAGATAAGATCAAAGTAAATGGGAGATGTGCTCACAAATGATCAATGACTCTACCTGATTTGAGCATGAGCATTTGGATCTCCATAGTCATCTTCAAGAACATATAGAAGCTTCCTGTAAGCATGCCCATTGAGAAGGTCTTTCTCTTCAAATTCCTTCAACAACTTCATTGCCTCTCCAACCCTTCCTTGTCTGCAGATTTCATCAAGAACTGTCTTATAAGTAATGAATTCAGCTGATCTTCGATTCTCAATCATCTCCCACAGATACTTCAGTGCCTCCTCAACCTCTCCATGAAGAACCAAAGCGTTCACAAGCGAGTTGTATGATTTACTACTCGGCATAAACCCTTTGCTCTTCATTTCATTGCACAGCTGCTTAGCATTGTGTGTCCGGCCTTGGCAACATAACCCATGGATGATATAATCGTAGGAAAACGAGTTTGGTGTGCATTTATAGACCACATCCATCTGATGGAATATTCTAAGTGCGTCATTGAGATGAAGGGAAAGTACATAACCCTTAATCATAGAATTCAAAGAGTAAATATCAGGCTCAATCCCATCATCCACCATTTGCCGAAACAGACACCTGGTGGTCTCCATATACATGTGATTTATGTAAGAATTAGATCCCCTACTCAAAAAGGCCGTAAAAAGAATATTATACGTCCTAATTGAAGGCCTACACTCCATGTTTCTGCTGTTCCTCATGTGTTTAAATATATTGACAGCTCTAGTCAACTTCCGGGCTTCTGTGAAAAAGTAAATAATGGAATTGTAAAGTGCCTCAGAACCAATGAAAGAAATAGCAAGCACTTGGTTGACAACATCATCCATTTCTTGATACATTTTAGCTACACCAAGTTTCTTGATCGTAATGTGATAAGTAGAAACATTGTGTTTGAACCGTGGCTGTTGTGATGCCCAATTGAACAACTCTAAGCACACAAAAGGATTGTCTTGCTGAGTTATAACATTGCAAAGTTCTTCAGGTGTAAATCTAGGCAACAACTGGGATAAGGCCCTTTGAAACTGGACTTCATCAAGAGTCGATTTATTGGACTCCGATCTCTTACGCTCTCTCCTTCTAAAAGATCGCGATGGGGGCTTGGTCGAGTAATAATTACACAGCAAAAATCGCTCATATATACCAGGATATCCATTTGAAGCGATTTTGGGAACTGGGTCAATTTGGGTTTGAATCAAATAGTGTATAGGCCTCAAAGTGCCAGTGATGGAATTCAAACTATAAGAAAGAACATCCATTCTAAAGCAATATCTACGAACGGAAATCATATTACTGAATGGTTTACCGCAAGATGGAAGCACTCAGTTTCGTACTACTGCACTTCTTAATTTGGTTGTGCCTCCTTACGCATTACGAACGTTTAGCCCAAAAACTGAAATCACAAACACAAATCATCAAAGCTCAATCAGACAATTACTTTCAAAGAATGACACATATAAACCGAAAAAAAGTGCATTCTCATATCACGAAAACATGGCCTTTCATCATCAAACAGATTTTTTTTTTTTTTGGTGGAAAAACTAAACATGAAATGATTGCAAAACCTTATTGGAAATTAGATCTTTCTATAATCACATACATGATTACGGAAAATCAAGCTAACCCAGAATCCAAAATCCAAAAATACAAATCCACAAATTACAAAATTCTCGAACTTTACTCTGAAAACTAACCGAAAACCACAAAACAGGTGCAAAATAACAGCCGCCTTAGGTTCAAAATCATACAGTAAAAAAAAAAAAGAGAATTCATGAAAAATGGTTGAATACCCAACCAATAATCTCGATGGAAACATTGAATTCAACAGTTTCCAGGGGAAACAGGAACAAAAATACAGATTATTATTATTATTATTACTTGTAAGTTTAATTCTTGTTTCGCTTTGTCTTGGCAATCAAACAGGTTGTAAGGAAATCAAGAGAAGCTGAGAAGCGATTACCTGAAAAATAAGAGTGCTACTCTGTCAGTGACCGAGTGCTTGGTTGCTGAGAATCGATGAGAAATGTGACTTCAGTACTCTACTAGGAGCTTTGCTACACAGGAAGTGGTCTAAAAGCAACTCCACCCTTGATCGGTAATTGCTAGATCTATTGGCCAATTAGCAATTATTGCTTTAGTGAACAATAATTAACCGAGTGAATTGATATTCCGTAAATAAATTTTTAGGCAATTGAAATTAAAATTTTATTTACAAAATAATAATAAGTTTAATTTCAAATAGTACTTGTAACCAATTTCATTACGTCAGATCACGTGTTATCATTTGAAATTACAATCTCATTCCGGTTCATATTCCCTTGGTTTTTTTTTTTTTTTTTTCAATCCAGAGTTCAGGTTGTGCCACATGGACAACAAGTCTTTTACATTTTTTTTATTTTCAAAATCATGATTAGAAACGATTGTCGGATTTGAGAAATCCAACGGCCCAAATTCAAAGACTGCCGCAACGCGGGCCCGTTGCTTGGGTTTTTATCGGACGACTGCACCCATTCGCCTGGCATAAAAAAAATTATAACGAGGTGATGTGGAACTGCATCACGCAATGGATTGGGTGATTGCGTCCCAATTGAGTAGTTAGGCCTTCTCCTTTTTTGTAGCCCGACTGATTGGGCCTTGGCTAGAGCTCATATTGTTGGGATCAGGATCCTCTCTTGAGCAAATAGAGAGGATCCTCCTTACCATGTCCATCTGGCTGTTCAAATTTTATCTAACGGCTACAATTATTATAACTTTTAGAAGGTCCCCCTGTTTGTAGCCGTTAGATAAAATTTGAACGGCCTGATGAGCCTAGTCATGAGGATCCTCTCCATTTTCTCATGAGAGGATCCAGATCCATATTGTTGGTTTTGGTTGATTGAATCGCTCAATTCCTTTAGTAATTGGGAGGGTATAATTACTCCCAACTTTATGAGTATATCTCAAGTTCTCAACCCCCATCTATCCCATTACTCTCCCTCCTCTCCGCAGTTCTATCTCAAAGTTTTGCACCTCCTCCATCTTTATCTCGCCCATTTCACGAAATTCTAGTAGCTCTCATTTCTAGTGATTGGGTCATCTATCTCGCGCTGAATTTCTTTCTTTCTCATATTTGGTCTCTTTGATGTTGGATTTGGTCATGGCATAGGTAAATGGCAACAAAAAATCATAGGTTTCATGAAAATTACTTTGATATACTGATATTATGTAAAGATTTCAGAGATATTTACCAACAACCAACTTTCGACGAACACCAATAGTGTCTCTAACTTTCATGAATATTTTTTTTTAAATTTCGTCAAAAATAAAATAAAACAGTAACATGATGTCATCATGACTTCAGGTAGCATGTGCTTGGGCTAGGCTATAGGGCTGGCAGGCTGGTTGCTCTTGGCCAACCCTTTGGCCGGTTCTCCCATTTTTAGTTGGGTGGTGCCCACGAGCCTTTTGGCCTAGCCCTTGGTTGGAGACGGTTTTCATGTCAAAATGGGTTATTTTTAGCTCTATAGCCCTTTGGCTGTATCATGATGACATCATGTTACTGTTTTATTTTATTTTATGGGGTAGAAATGGTTAGGTATTTATAAATAAAAAACTAATTTTTTTTATTTATAAATACCTAAGCCATTTCTACCCCATTTCTCACATTCTTTTCACCATTCCATACTATCTTACTTCATTTTATTTCAATTATTCACCAATTTTTCACATCCTTTTCATTCTATAAAGATAAGAAATCTGAAGGCTTATTAATTTAGCGACGAGTGGCACTTAAAATATATCTGAAAACTTTATTTATATATGGTAGTTCAATTTAATTAACCATATTAATTAAATTAAAATAATAAATTATATTTGGCCTATGGCCCTTTTACCCCTTCAGTTGGAGATGGTTTTTTGTTGAAGAACTATGTTTGGCCTATGACCTTTTGGCCTCCTCGGTTGAAGATGGTATAAAATATGGCCTAACACTGTTTAATAAAATATAATTTCTTGCAGAGCTAAATGGCTAAACATGGCCCTTCAGCCTTCTTTCAATTGGAGATGGCCTAAAAACCCAATGATTGAGGCCCAGTCCATACAACGTCACACATACAATTGTGTTTTGGGTATGGGATAATGCTATTCACACTTATTTTACATTTTACATGCAATTCTTAATTTGATCATCAAATCGAAACATTGAAGAAAATTATTGACGAAAAATTAACAAATATATGTGGAAGGTAAAAGTAAGTGTGTGAATAACACTATCCTTTTGATATTTCTATATCATGAAGGCAAGCAATTACGATAGTAAAATTTACAAAAAAAATACAACAGTAAAATATTTATTTTTTATTTTTTTAATTAAATCGTAAAGGAAACTTATTTAAAAAATACGATAATTAAAATCTATATAAAAATACAACTTCAATCAACAACTATTTCGCAGTAAAACAATCATACTGAAAAACTTATCCCGAACGCTTACCGCGCAAACCTCATAAGAATTTGAAGTAAAATGAAGGTAATAGTGATACCTGATACAAGGACGTTGTTAAATTTTTAATAAATTTTCTTCTATTTATTAAAATAATGATATTGAAGGATGTCGTTACCGGAAAAATCGTGAAACGGGATTACTGAATTCAGAATATGCCAGCGCAGCACATTATGTAGAGTCCGGATCCTCGTCGGATCTTTTTTGTAAGGATTTTGGGATTTATAAATTATGTTCGTTTTTCGTATATCGTGCGATCATAAATTATTTTAAATATTTTTATTTAAAATCTAACATAAATAATATTTGACAAAAACTGATCGCATGATGTAAGATGAACGAACACGGTTCACGGATTTCTCCGCAAAAGGATCCGGAGAGGATCCTGTTGGCATTATGTAAGCGGCAAGCAAACAACTACAACCGTCCGATCAAAAACTCAATCATCCAAAGGCGGTGAGTAAAACCCTAACCCAACAGTGGCTCCATTTCCTCCTATTTAAAATTCACGAGGCTCTTATTTTTGCCATCCTCTGCCATTTCTCGCTCTTCGCGCACTAAAGTCGGCGAGATAAACAATCCCCTGAATCTTCCAGTCGCTCTCGTCTGCTTGTTCCAGGTTCGCTCAGATCTCTGTCTCTTTGTTGCAGATTTTGTTATTTATTTAATTAAATCCCTTGCGATTCTATTTGTTCGATTTAATTCTGGTTCCTTTTAGGTGTTAATGAATTGGTGAACTGGGTTGCTGTTTTTGTTTGATATTTGTGATTAGATCTAGATTTCTGTGTGAATTGCATGTGGGTTTTAGGGTTTTCGTATATCTAATCTAACACTGTTAGGGAATTTATTTATTTGTTTATTTGATTTAGAGTTTTGATTCTGGGTCTATTTAATTTGTTCAGATATGGGCTTTAATGTTTGTTTATATGATCGGATACAATCACGCATGTGTTATATTAAATTTTAATAATCTTGAGTTTTGTTTTAATATTCTTTAATTGTTTACTATTGTTTTTGTTCTGGTGTGTGGATTTGATCAGTTCCGTGAAATTGGTTCCCTAAAGCAATAGTAATAGTTGTGGCGTTTTGAAAATCTGACGCTCAATTTGTTTTGGGTATTTTGTGGAATTTCTGGATCAACTCCTATTTTGTTAGGAGCATCTAAACGACTCTGTATTTGGATAATCTTTTACATCGATTTGGTTTGTAGCGTTCTTATATGTTCTGCAGAATGTTGTTGTTTGGCTAACTGGCTGATTTATTTTTGTGAATGTGTTTGATATTTCAGTTCTGTTGCTGATAATCCGTCATGGGTAAAGAGAAGTTCCATATCAACATTGTGGTCATTGGCCATGTCGACTCTGGCAAGTCAACCACCACTGGCCACTTGATCTACAAGCTTGGTGGTATTGACAAGCGTGTGATCGAGAGGTTCGAGAAGGAGGCTGCTGAGATGAACAAGAGGTCATTCAAGTATGCCTGGGTGTTGGACAAGCTCAAGGCTGAGCGTGAGCGTGGAATTACCATTGATATTGCCTTGTGGAAATTTGAGACCACCAAGTACTACTGCACTGTCATTGATGCTCCTGGACATCGTGACTTTATCAAGAACATGATTACGGGAACCTCCCAGGCTGACTGTGCCATCCTCATCATTGACTCCACCACTGGAGGTTTTGAAGCTGGTATTTCCAAGGATGGTCAGACCCGTGAGCATGCTTTGCTTGCTTTCACTCTTGGTGTCAAGCAAATGATTTGCTGCTGCAACAAGGTGAGCCTTATATATCTTGTGTCTATGTATTTCAAATTTTATATTGTTTGGTATTTCATTGTTTTTATATTGCAATTGTATGTTGAATTTTTTTATGACGATGATACTTCAATTGGTATTGGATGTCAGCAATTATTGCTGTGATTTCACAAGCAGTTCTAACTCATGTCACACAATGTCGATTATTGTGTACAGATGGATGCCACCACTCCCAAGTACTCAAAGGCAAGGTACGAAGAAATTGTGAAGGAAGTGTCGTCCTATCTCAAGAAGGTTGGCTACAACCCAGATAAGATTCCCTTTGTCCCCATTTCTGGGTTTGAGGGTGACAACATGATTGAGAGGTCCACCAACCTTGACTGGTACAAGGGTCCCACCCTTCTTGAGGCTCTTGACCAGATCAACGAGCCCAAGAGGCCCTCAGACAAGCCCCTCCGGCTTCCACTTCAGGATGTGTACAAGATTGGTGGTATTGGTACCGTCCCTGTTGGACGAGTTGAGACTGGTGTCATTAAGCCTGGTATGGTGGTGACTTTTGGCCCAACTGGGCTAACTACTGAGGTCAAGTCTGTTGAGATGCACCACGAAGCTATGCTGGAGGCCCTTCCAGGTGATAATGTTGGATTCAACGTGAAGAATGTTGCTGTCAAGGATCTCAAGCGTGGTTATGTTGCTTCCAACTCCAAGGATGATCCTGCAAAGGAGGCTGCTAACTTTACCTCTCAGGTCATCATCATGAACCACCCCGGGCAGATTGGACAGGGATATGCACCAGTTCTCGACTGTCATACCTCCCACATTGCTGTCAAGTTTGCTGAGCTTGTGACAAAGATTGACAGGCGATCTGGCAAGGAGCTCGAGAAGGAGCCTAAGTTCTTGAAGAATGGTGATGCCGGATTTGTGAAGATGATTCCAACTAAGCCCATGGTTGTCGAGACCTTCTCTGAGTACCCACCACTCGGACGTTTTGCTGTGAGGGACATGCGCCAGACTGTTGCAGTTGGTGTCATCAAGAGCGTTGAGAAGAAGGATCCAACTGGAGCTAAGATCACCAAGGCCGCCGCTAAGAAGAAGTGAACCGCTGTGGTTCATCAGATTTCCGCAGGCGAAATCTCCTATCCTAATAATAATAATAGTCGTAAAAACTTATCTTCTAGTATTTCTATGGATTGCTGGTTGCGTAATTTGTTGTCGTTGTCGTCGTTGGGCATTCATTCTCAGAATTGGGTGCTCGACCGGCGGTGGCGTTGCTAGTGTGTTCTTGTGCTGTCTCCTCCGTTGAGAGTCTAGGTGCTCTGGGTTTTTCCCAGTGCGGCTAAAAGCTTTTGTGACTGGTTCTTGCTACTCTCGGTATAAAAACTTAGCGTCTAATAAATATGTTCTTGTGGTATTTCATATTTCGTACTTAGCATGTGATTTTTCCAGTTCCTTTTTTTATGATTTTGAAGCAGCATATGCGTCGGGGATAATTATATTATCTCTGATAACCAAACTTTAATCTCCGGCAAGCGCCGACTGCAGTGAATGTGGTCCTCCGATGATGTCTTGTATGGGGATATGTTGTAGAATGTTGTTTATTCTTTTTGTCTTGATACTTTCAGTACGGAGAGCAATTTACATGAAATGGTTTTACCGCTGCATGGCTGCCGGCTTGGTCAAATGATATATTGTTGCATGAAAAATAACTTGCAACAATTTGTTATTGGATCTAATCCGTTTCATGTAGCTCATTCTCTTCCATGAGAATTAGACTTGTATGGTGTTTGGTGTTGACCTTGGGTTTGCATTAGATCACAAGTGGATGGAGTGTTATTGGACGGTGTACGTTGCACTTTGACATCAACATTTGTGTCAAGGGACGATCATTAGGCTGGGATAAAGCGACTCAGTTTGGCTTCAACATTTTTACAAAGACAACGCCTTCAGCTTAATGACAAGGCAATTTTACCTTGTTAAGCCCCCCGAGGCAAGGCAATGTTGCCTTGTTAAGCCCCTCGAGGCAAGGCAATGTTGCCTTATTATTCCACTTTTGAGGCAACATTTTCCTGTTGCCTTGTCATTGGAGAGATGAAATGCCATTGAGATTCAAGGGTTTATAGTCGGAAAGGGATCCCCTTTACGGATCCCTTCCACTAAATCCACCCAATCAATCAATCCAAGCCCTTGAAATTTGATCCAACAGTTACAAACAGGGAGCCATTTTAAAAGTTATAATAACTTTAGCCGTTAGATCAAATTTCAAGGGTCCAGATTAGGTAGTTTGGTGAAAGAGATCCAGAGAGGATCTCTTTCCTTTATAGTCAGTTTTCATTTGACTTACCAGATTATGTGGTCCAATAAAAACATGACGTGTTAGATGTTTAAGTTTTATAACCAAGTAACCATACTCTTTTCTCTTAGGTTTTTTAGCCAAAATGGTCAATGAGATTTGTATAACTCATCACTTTGGTCCTTGAGATTTAAAATCAATAAAAGTGGTTTATGAGATTGTCCATCATCAATCATTTTGGTTATTCCATGAAAAATTATGTTAAATAAGGATCAAAATGACAAAAATACTCTCATTTTAATAAACAATAGGCCAAAATGATTTGAAAAAAAAAATTGAGGGTATTTTTGTCATTTTATGCTTATTTAATGGAGATTTTTCACGAAATGACCAAAATGATTTATAGTGGACAAACTCAGGGACCAATTATATCGATTTCAAATCTCTATGACCAAAATGAGGAGTTATACAAATCTCATAGATAATTTCGGCTAAAAAGCCTTTCTCTTATTAAACCCATTACCAAATAGAATCCTCCTCCTCCTCCAACTAGTCTACAAGACTTTTGTTTGATCCTGGTTTTAAAGGGTTGGTTTGCGTTTGGTTACAAAGATGGCAAAGTGTTGTAATCGACAAACGTCTTAAACCATCCCGTAGATAAGTCAGTACTTTGGGTACTCGCCAATGAGTACCCAAGTATTATTCTTACTAAAAACACATTTATTTATTCTCCTTCTATTGATATTAAATATAAGTGCAATTCATCTTCTAACTTCAAAGTTGACACAACTTTTTCGTTTCTCATAATCAATTTCAAAAGAATAATCGTTCATCTATACGTTTAACGTATCTTAAACAGCAAACATGACTTATGATTTTAAATGATCTAATGAAGTATATAAGTACGTATTTTCTTACTAGTAGTCACCATCAGATGATTGGGATCGATAGTAAGGAAAGGACCTGGATTGTCTGCCCCCCATCCCATCCTCTCCTATTTCTGTGGTCACGGTTAAGCCATTTCAACATTTTATATTGATTTTTTTATAGAAATGATAAGACAAAAAGTAATGAGAATATAAAAGTTGACGTGGTTTAACCGTAATCACAGAAATAGAAGGTCATTGGAAAGGGTATTGGATGGGGAGGGCCGACAATCTATAAGGAAAGCCTTCCCAAACCATATTCCTCACACTTAATTGGCACCACTTCTGGCCCACAATCATGCACGCCGGCACTGGTCTTTCACATGTCCCATTTACTCACTCATTTGACACCGCTATCAAACCCTCATTGACCAAGAATTTTTCAGCATGCCAAGCAATTTGTTAAAATTTATTTTATCAAGTTTACAATCAATTATATTATGAGAATTTTAACAAAAAGTTTTACTGTTTATTTTAATGAAAAATCATATTTTTTTATTAAAAAGTTAATCCTTGTACTATTCATTTTACCCTTTATTTTGTCCTTATAGATAAAACTAAAAGCTTTCAAGTCATTTTCATTAATTTTTCTTTATATTATTTGTACTAAGCTGTATTTCTGACACATTAAAAAATATCTCCTTATTGATGACCCTTGCCAATGGCCGCCATAGCCCCACTTACCACAACATTATCCTCGATAGGACTGATTATTCTATAGACACTAGTCATGCACATGGGAATATCTGTTGTACAAAACATCACATACCCTCTCAAGTATGAAAAATATTTCCTTATTCTCCATGGCGTCTGTCTCTCTTCACATTTAATAGCATGAGAAGGGGAGAGAAACATACACTGCAATATAGATAGGATTATAGAAGGTTTTTTTTATTTTTTTTATAGACTTTTTTGTTTACATAACGATATATTTACACTAAAGTTGAAAGCGACGCAATAACATTAATAAATAATCCGTTGTCAACGAAAATAAGAGAAAAGACTCCACTATAGAAGGAAGACTTGATTCGTGACACTTCCATCTTCCTCTGTAATTTGATAAGATGCAAATGTTTGGAAGTGTAGTCTAAAGGGCCGACCATGAGAATCTAGATACGAGGCAAGTTCAAATGAATCGTTCATACCTAAAAGAAATTGAACTCCTTTTCTTAAGAAGTATAAAGCAATTTAATTTATATATATATATATATATATATATATATATATATAATTAAAAGTAAGGAATTGACCTATGTTTTTTTTACACAACTTTTGACACACGTTTTTGGTGTGCCACTATGTCAAATTATCAGAGAGATGGGTCAAAGACCCGCTTCCAACAACACTAATATCGTCCCCAATTTGTGATTATCACATACATAATCTGACAGTTGTATGATTTTATCACACAATAACTCAGTATTAGTAGGAGTAGAATTAGGATATTTAAACACTTTTTTCTTTCTTTGGCCGATGTAAGATATCCGCCCTCTAAAAGTATTGTATCACTTAAAGGGAAAGAACTTCATTAAAACTTTACTGAGGAATTCAAAAAAAGTATATGTAACACCACCTTATCAATCTATGTGACACCCCGAATGATTCTCGACAAAGCAATTGAGAAGTGTATGAATAACAAGTGGTCATGAGACCAAATTCAGAAGTTGGGGAGGAAAGTAGGTGATATGATTTTTCTCACCTACAAAAAGTAAGTCAAAATCACAAAAAATACTTGCAAGAGTACAAGGATGTTGTAGTATAGATGTTCATGCAAGGTCGTTCTGCTCAACGACTATTTTAATAATTTATGTAAAAACAATTCCTATTCAATTACTTAAAACTGAAAATTGAGAAAGAAGTTTTTGAATTTGGTTAATGTTAAAAACAAATTTTAATTAAACACAAATAATAAATTTGCCCAAAACTAATATGATAAAAGAAAAGAGTTTTAAATACCAATTTATAAAAGCATTAGGGTTTCACCATCACCTAGCAATCCTATGAATTTCTACCAATTACTTATGATCTACACATGCCACTTTGAAGGTTAGGTTTTTCTAATTTATATTTTACTTGGAACCTCCAACATAAAACGTATATCTAACATGCAATTTGTCCGGACTTTCGGATCAAATATGAACATGAGAGACTCATTATGTTTTATGAAAGCCTTTGAAAAACCATGCAACCCTTAAGACGTGGTGTTCATCCTAAGTGAAATTACAATTATTAACCACAAGAAACCAATGTCAATTTCAAGGAACCTTCCGACCAAAATTGCATCAAATTACTTTTCTAAAGATCCTAATGGTGATCGGACATTTAGACAATTAGATAGTTTAAAACGGTGATTAATAATTCAAAGCGTGCATGCATTCAATCACAAGCAATTAAATAAAAATTACATATTCATGCTAAGACTCGTGACTTAACCCCTAGCAAAAGAACTTAGTTACAAACAATCATAAAATAAAATATTATTAAGAACATGGAAAGAAAACATCTTGAAAATAAACTTCCAAAGCTCTCTAAAGTAGTGCACGTGTTCTCCTGCTCTCTTTTTTCTCTAACCCTAATGGTTAAATATTTTTATTTATACTACTACCAAATAAAACCCTAAAAGGTTTTAGAATTAAACTAGGAAACATAATAAAATAATAAAACAGAAAATAAAAAGTTTCCTATTTAAATTAAAATTTGGACTTCTAAAAAATTTAGTCTTTTGATCAACCAAATCAACTTCGATTTGGTCCCAAAAGGTCTCTTTTGAAAGCTGGAGACGTACCCTACAAATCCTCAGAAGGAATGTTCCTCAAAATATGCCATCTTTACCTCCAAAATAGCCAAAATGTCCAAAAAGGTCAATTTGGAAAAATTGCGCCCTGGGCCTTTATTTCATTGCCACGACCAAATGACCAACCTCCAATTGGAATCACTCCAAAATTCATCCGTTTGATCACTTTTTACTCCAGAGGAAGTTGAATATCCTACATTAGAAATAGGGTGCTTTAGATTTTGGCCCTTACAATTCATGATTCCTAGATAAAAACGTCCAATAAAAGCCCAAATTTAAAATCTGCAGCCACATCGGTGCATTATTGACCTACTAATACAATTTATTTACACCTATGCCACTTTCCCAAATCCCTAAATTTATTCCAAATTAAAAGTTGTAGAAAAAGTGAAATAAAATATATAAACTGTTG